GGCCAGCAACAAACATTAGCGGGACATGTTGTGCAATGAGCTCGCTAGGATATCCGTTCATGGTGGTCGCTCCCACCTGGAGTTCGGGCTGCTGACGTAACGGGTAAAGGGTCTGACAATGCACGTGACTTTAGGTCTAGGACGGTTTTGCGTCCTCGAAGTCACCGTATACAATAAATACGTTGAGCCTACCGCCGAAAAACCTGCGATGTGATAGATCCATCAAGATAATGTCTATATCGGCAGAGAACATTCGATACATGCACTTTCGGCGACCGCTAATGAGGCAAGCAAGTTGTAGTCGCTGAAGGACACGAACATGAACATGAATTTCAACGTCCTAGCATCTACGACTAGTCTATCTTGGGTCTGGGTACTAATATAGCATATACGGCTATGTATGGTCGATTATATTGGGATATATGCCGGAGATTTTTGAATTTTAGACTCGCTACTTGTATCATGCTCAACCAAATTGCTCTGAAGATTGATAACTATTGAGCCAAGATCCAGAAGAAGAACGTTCTCAAAAAGAGTGGCCCTAACCCAGGATTGAACTGGGGACCTCACCCAACGAAACACAGTGCTCAATTGAAACTCCTCAAGGACTCCCTAAGGGTGAATCATACCACTAGACCATCAGGGCTTCCTTTAGCGCCTGAAAATAAGTATAGGCCCCATATGTGGAAGATGATTTAGGAGACAGTCATTTGTTTAAGTAGCTTGATACAGAACGGGTCATAGCAACAGTTTCCCTAAGGGCGAATCACACTACCAGGCTTTCGAGCCTTGCTTTGTGGTATGCAATACGCATTACATGCCGCTCAATTTTTTCACGAATTAAGGTAATCAGACTTTGGTTTGCATTTGATCACCAGTACAATCGTTGTTTCAATGTCTATCTGTCTACCTCACGAGTGACGGTTAGTTCTTCAAGTGCGTTTCCGGAAATTTCTTGGTAAGCGCCTCAGTCCGTGACATCCGTTGTTGTGGCGTGTGATGTCGAGTAGCAACACTTGAATCAGACCACGACCGGACCATTGTACAGAACCAGCTTTATATACAATATCGCCTCAGTATTATGCCACCGCCAAAACCCGGTATATATAGGATCGTCAACGTCAAGAGCGAAACATGCATCACGATCCGGAACGACTAGGAAGCAGTTTGCTAGCATAAATACGACGCGAAGGACCAACAGGTAGGCGATCGGGCAATCGATATATGAATTGCATGGATCTCAATGATGTACTACATGCAAGTGGTACCTACAGCCCTCTGGGGCGGGCTTTCGAATCAAAAATTACCAAACTGGCCAGTATCTATGCGTGGTCGAGACGCCCAAGGAAAAAATACCCGTTAGGGTGTATGCCGGGATTTATCCAATCACGTGGGTGGTAAACCAAGAGAGTCAGGACCATTACACGTATTTGTAAGTCCCGTCTTACGAATGAAAAGTGTCAAAAGCTGGCAGCTGATGAGTTTGTGGTAGCATAAAACACGCAGATGCCGACCGTATTGTCGATCTATCAGGCTGGGGCGCAAAATAAGATGGGACTGAGGTACGTAGGCTATTCACGAACCTTCTGCCCACCGTGCGAGGACAGCGGGACTAGCTGAAAGTACCTGGTTTTCAATTCAGATCCATGCGTATCCACAGTATGGGTGGAAGGCCAACAACAGTTGGCGTTTTGAGCACCTTAGGTAAGCTTTTCTGCGTCGAGTCTGCCATTCAACCTAAAACATGTCAAGTGATGAAACAAGAGAACAGGAGCAACGGCTTTCAAAAGAATTAGTGGCGAAAAACGAGATAATCAAGGCGATGAGTGAAGAACTTGCACGAGTCACTAAAGAACTGATCGACAAGTCATCATTCCTGGCTAACACCCAAATCGAACTCCGTGAGGCAAAGGCGGCGATGGCGGCCCAAAACGCTGAATTATTGCGCATCAAGTTTCAGAGAGCGAACAGTGATATGAAGCGCGAGGTCACTGAAAAAACCTTCAAGGTAGAGAGTCTTTAGGCAAAGATGGCAGCCCTTGAGCAACTGCTTGCTGAGGTGAGTACTCTACTTCGGCCATTACTGATAGTACTAAGTACTAAGTCACTCAAAAGTCATAGACCAGAATGTTAGGCGCTCAAACAACGCTGCTTGATCAACCAGAGTATTGATGAATACACGATGACATTCGACTCGCATGTAAGCACTCAGATTTAGTCAGGTAGCAGACCACAACATACACACTGCATTTATTTGACAAGTACCAGTTTGGTAAAAACACCGCTTCTTGAACAAACCGGGGTCGGTCGCCTATGGCTACACGTGCCCCGACGCCGACCGCCAGTACAGTATACCCGGCTGCCATAGTGGTAAGTACATATTTATTACTACTCGCAAAATCCTTAGGTCGTCGCCACTAACGATGTATTCCTCGGAAGGATTTACCAAATAAACCACTATATTCATATCCGACACGATCGAACAGTCTGTCAGACTGTAATATCTTTCACAAATACTCAGCATTTCGAAAGTCACCATAGTGAACCGACTCATAAACACCTTGATTCCAGTTTAACTAAAAACAAGAATGAGGTAAAGAAGACCGATTTACAGCCCTTTTATTATACTGTGAAGTATGCATCTATCCACGATAGGCGATACCGTTGGCACTCAAGCTTCCATCGTCGTTGTAGAGCGACGAGCCGGTTCCAACTTGTCCTCCACCAGTGTTCTTCGAGATCAGGCTCGGGGAGCTCGCACCGAAGACGGAGTACTAAGGTAGATACGTCAATAGGCTGAAATAAAATACGAAGGAGCCGATAGCTTACCATAGCTACGTAGGACGCGCCATCGAGGAATGACATAGCTTGCTTCAAGAAGGCAAGCTGTTGATCACGGTTCGCAGGAGCGTTGAGAGCGAACTCGGTCACGATCAACTATCACAGGGCGTAAGACATGAATGCACTAGACAAATCTAGATATATGCGTACCTGGTAGTTCGGGAACCGGTTGTGTGCATTCTGCACGTGTGACTGGAACTGTGCAAAAGTGCTGCCGTACCAGTGGATGTTGACATAGTCAAAGTAGCAACCGCCGCCGCAAGCAGAGATGAATGCTGCAGTCCAGTCAAGACCCTGTCCTGCGTTTTGGCTGGATGTCACAGCGGGGATCGCCTTTTCTGTGAGCGGGAGATGATATCAGCATTTGCGTGGCGAGAAGAGAACGAACTAGTACTGACTGATGGCGAGGGGGTTGATGTTCTGTTTGTACCAGTTGGCTGCATCACCTGCGCTGATCCCGTTGATATCAGGCTCGTTGAGCGAGAAAACGGTGTTCCAGCCCTGCTGAGCGGCACGGGTCTTGAGCTGGCTAATGGGAGAAGAGGCAGAGTCTTTGGTAGCCTGCATACCAATCCAGTTGAGGTTGCTAGATTCACAAACGTCAGCAAACACATTGCAAGATACGAGCTTATATAGTGCTACTCACGTGGTCTTAGCAGGACGCCAGGTCTCCCAGTTGTAGATCCAGTTAACCTGGCCGCCAGCGAGTTTGGCGGGGTCTAGGTTGGTACCCTCATTGTCTACAGAATAGTTAGAATCGACAACACAAAGCATTGGAGGAGTTGCACTTACACCAGGGCCAGGCGAGACCACGCTTGCCGGCGAGGACAGAGGGAGCGACGGTCAACACTGCTGCAGCGAAGGTGGTGAAGCTAGGAAGGGAAGGCATGTTGTTGGGTATGTAGAAGCTAAACCGGGATCTGAGAAACCGCTGGTTGATGCTCACCGTCCCACCAATCCAGACCAGCTTTTATATCTCTCGTATACAGCGCAGAGTGTTTCACGGTATCGCGTTTTTCAATGAAGACGGACATTTCGGCGAGCACGCGAAGGAACCGATAGTCGTCCCGAACCGTACACATGAGACTATCGAAGGCTGTCCTGAGTCGTAGCGCCGGCTACACACGTTGCTCTATAGGTTGCATAAGCATCATGATGGTGGTCCCCGCCTCGAACCGCGCTTGACTCTAGGCGGACTCGCCAACGTTTGACGATGGTCGGGTAACTCATGTGCTTCAGGAACCATCGTTTCAGCACGTGATCATAAGCGCTCGCTTGAGGCTGGATAATTCAAATGGAATTCACTGGACTAAATTACACAACTGATGCCAAACATGGAAAATATGATACAGGATTCAATCAAACCATTTCGTCAATCGTGGTCTGTGGTGATAGTGTACTTAGTCAGAATGTGTAGAGGTTGACGGGTATATGCGCTTACCTGAAGATACTTGATTTGGTCCTTGACCCAAGCCTTGAACTCATCTTTCTTGACAATTTCCTCACCCCATGGACCTTTGCCGTCCCCGCGCTTTTGTTTGAACTCTTCGGACTGGCGTTTGAAGCGCTTAGAGAGAAGATCGAGTCGGTATGTTGACCACTAAGGATGTGATCAGCGTCGGTACGAACATTATTTGTACACCAGACGAACCTCGTAATACAGCTCATTCCAGTTAGCAACGGGTCTAATCGTCGTTAGAACCGAGTCATCGCGAAGCATGGGATCTTTGGCGCGATACGAGGTCACCTGACATCCGTGGTTTGGCCTACTTTAGAATAAATGAGTTGTGGGAAAGACGTACCATGGTAACTCGTTCTGGAGCACCGAACGCTCCTAATGCAACATGGTCGATATACCGACCTTGAAGCATGATCGCCCATCCCATTTGAGGACCACGAACTTTCTTAACATTGCCGTCCGCGCACATGAGGGCGGTTTCTCCGCCTTGCATTGTGGATGCGTCGGAGAGCATGACGACGCAGACCCACCTACGAGGCTAAATGTTCAATCTCTTGTTTAGATGTTGACGAAAAATGTCATGCTTACGGATACGAGTCGCGGTGCCATCCAACCACGGGTTTGGATGTAATATCCTCTTCAGGCGCTGGCTCTGCTGGTTCGACCGAGTCCGCAACGACTGGCTCGGTCAATCCTCTCGGATGTGTCGCAATAATCGGACTTTGAAGCTCGGTCTCGCTATCGCTGTCACTATCCGTACTAGGCACCAACGGAGGTAGATTATTTGTTATAGGGCTAACTAGGGGAAGGTTGTTCGCGCCAGGAACCAAAATCGGCACAACACTCTCTCCTTTTTCAATTGGACCTTCGGGCTGTAGCGGTTCACGACCGAGTTTAGAGACCGTGTCCGGGCCGAGCGTGAGTTGGACGTTAACGTGACCCAGCTGAGGTCAGTACGTCAGATGGGTATGAATGATGTAATGGTGAATAGAAGTACCTCGTACGGCATAATGGGAACGAGATCGATTCCTGCTGCTTCGGACACTGCGCGAATAGTTTCTGGATGTTTCCATAGCGATTCGTTGAACGGAGCAAAACCTGGACGACTTGAAAAGCCACGGATTTGGCAAGGTGCAAGATCCGATCTGGCATAAAGGGTGTGAGCGAAAAACCAATGTGATGGTTAATCTGATTTTAACGTACGTGTGTGTGCAACGGTCAAGTACGTGGTGGCTAAATATCTCCTCACGGAGGGCACATACCCCTTCCTCGCTCAGCAATGGAAAAGGCTAGCGAGTGAGTCGCATGTGATTGAGAAAATCGGATATAAATCTACAAAAATGAGA